CGTCTCCTGTGTCACGGCGTTATTTAACCGACCCCCTTGCAGGGTGTTATTTACTGGAGACTCATTGAAAGAGGAGGCGCAGGGGGGCAGAGCAGGGGGGGCCATGGGACGCAGCACCCGCAAACGCCACCCCAGCCCTCCCCACGGCTGCAGGGCTCGGTCCGCACATGCACAGTCCCCTTGCACAAGGACTAGCAAAACAGAGGAGCATGTTACATGTACACACGTCACACAGGGGATCCAAAAAATAAAAAAAATAATTAAAAAATACCCAACAGCCTCCTCTGACGTAGGGAAAAGCCCGAGAATCACAAGGGTCAGACAGGACAACCCTCCGCCTCCCACCACCGCTTTGCAGAGACGTTCCACTCTCAGCCCCCTTTGGACAAACAAACTCCGAGCCTTCAGTGGAAAAAAACCCACCCAACTGAATGAAAAATAAATATGCAAGTGTTCCCAGGACATCAGCCACATCTATGGTCCAAGGGAGAGGGAAAAGGAGTCTCTACAAAGTGTCGCAGGCCTTTTGCAGGCTGCAAATACAGACAAGGCAAGCCCTCCCTCCCCTCTCCCACGCTATTGCAAGGTAACAGTCTGAAAAGGCACTTCTCCCAAAGCAGGTCGCTCTGCCTGGCCGGGGGTCGGTGACAGGCGAGGTGACACCTAAACACTCCCAGTTTATTGCATGTAGGCAGGGTAGAGGGATTGGGTTGGGGGCTGGCGGGTCCCGGAGGGCTGCAGAGGGCTCAGAGGAGGCGGCAGGAGACAAGGATGGCACCATCTTTCTCTCTTCATACCACCGTACCTTGCTGCCGAAGGCTACATTCACCTGGAGAAACCCTTGCCTTCAACGGACGGAGAAGAGCCTCTGCACGGAAGGGCAGGCAGGGCTCCTGGGGGCACCCCAATCCCGCCGGCCCCACGGATCTGCTCCCCCGAGCTCGGCTGTCGGGCCAGCGCTGGGGGCCAGAGAGAGCCCGACCTCCACGGGGGGACAGTCCCCAGCCCAGGGATGCTGGACCGGGGGCTGAGAAGAAAACCCGTGCCACAAAGCAGGGGGGATGAGCGGTCGCCCCGCTCTGCACGACAGAGACGGCGTCTGGTTATTTGGTCAGTTAACATTGGCAGGGGGTTGCGGGGTGGGAAGAGGGACAGTGGCAGAGGATTTATATAAAAATAAAGGGGGAAGAGGGGAGAAATAGCGAGCGTGAGCGAGCAAGGTCCTGGCTACAGAGCGAGACGGTTACATTTCGTTAGCCACCAGCTCTTTGTCGGTCACGCCGTTGGAGAGCGAGCTCTGGCCCTCGTTCAGCCTCTTGACCCTGTAGGCTTCGAAGTGGATGTTGCTGGTAATATCCTTTATGTTCTGCATGTGCGTCCTGCGGGAAAGGGAGATGGGGGCAATCGCACCTCGCTGGGCACAGGTTTGGCCAGCCCAGCCTCCGCCACCCCAACCCTTGCACCCCCCAACCTCTGCTTTCAAACACCCCCTCCAGCCCAAATTTCCCCTCCTCCTTTACTGGTTAACAGTATCTTTAGGGCACAGGAGGGAAGCAAAGGCAATTATGGGCAGCCAAGACCAGAAGCCTTCACAAGCCTGTGCTTGGGTACACGGGAGCCCTGGCTGCGTAACACCCATCCGGGAAGACCCCGGTCCTGCAAGTCCCTGGGATCAGGTTTTGTAGCCCCACACAACTATCTGCCAGCAACAGCTCACGTGTGCAGAGTTTACCTTGCAGCCAAATTTAGCAGGAGCCCAATGCCCCCTCCAGCAAGCCAAGGGGGCTCAGCCTCCCATTCCCCTGCAGCAGGGACGCCTCTTTCAAGAGGGACAGGCGATCGCCCAGACCCCCCAGTGGCACGATCCTGGGACACAGGAGGGTGATGTCTTTGGACAGGGGGTAGGACCTGGGGCTGGTGAGGGATCACTAAGGCCAAAAGGCTTCCCAGCTGCTTGCAAGAGAGCTGGAGCCACACGGCACGCTGCCAGCAATCTTGGAGTCTGTCCTGACCCATCCACTGCTCCTCTCCTCCCTTAACTCAGCACCATGGCTGAGAAAAGCCCCCTGAAGCCATGTCCCACTGAGTGGGGTCAGCCCTTGCAGCGGGCCTGCAGCGTTGCAGCAGGCTGAGAGGGGAGGGAGGGAGGGAGGGAGGGATGAGCAGAGCGAAGCAGCGGCTGCTTCAAGCTGGGCTGGGCTCTCCCCTTTCTTTGGATGCCACCTGGTGACCGAAGGCTACAGGGACAGGGCACAGTCCTACCCACCTGATGAGGAGGTCCCGCAGGTAGGCGAACTCACAGTGTGTCGTGTTCTCCACTGGTGGGAAGAGAGAGAAACCCATCAGCATGCACCCGCGGCATGAATGTGGCAACCACTTGGGGTAAGGAGGACCCTATGGGGCTTCACTAGCGTGTGGAGGGCTGAGATGGGGACTTACCCCCAGGTGCTCCAGCTACCAACTGGCTGGTGAGGTCTGAGGTCTG